AAACTGAGAACTGATTATTTTCTGTGGTATCAGAAATATAGAATTCTGAAAATTTTGGCTGAGACCTATTTTACATAAGACAGTGGCATCTATCAACAAAAATAACTTTTACAGCTAGCTACTTAAGATATACATTTTATTGTGTGTGTGTGTATATATGTGTGTGTATGTATATGTATGTATGTATGTATGTTAGAAAGAACAGTGGATTTAGAACCAAATCTTCGCTCTGCCACCTGCTAAATGTGTAAGCTGAGTGACCCATGGCAAGTCACAACCTTCACGAGTCTCAGCTTCTCATACATAAAATGAAGACAATGTGTTTTTTTAATATCTATATATCTACTTCAAAGAGCTGTTTTGAGGAAAACAGCTTTATAAACAAGTTTTATTATTAAGCCCAAAAAGTTCCATGGAGAAAACCTCCATGGCCTGGAGAATCAACTGGGAGAGTTTTGGTTAAAAGGGTAAGAATTAACCAAAAAGTTTAACTCCTGAGTTCTAGCCTCAATTCTGCCAGTAACCAGTTCCTGACTGAGCTGAACTTTCTTAATTTCTTATAAAGAGAGGGGGGGATTGTGTCAAACTATCTTTAGGTCCTTCCACCTCTGAAATATTATGGTTGTATCATTTCCCAAATATGCTTAGGTCTTTCTTTTGTTCATTCCAGACTTACGATTTTATCAGTGTGAGGAAGAGATGTCAAACTCATAAACAGCTGGCTACATGTGGCTAGCAAAAATCCCAAGTGCAGCCAAACCAGATTAAAATATAACTGGCAGGGATCTGTTTCTATTTGAGGTTGATACCACTGGTATGGGAGAAATTAAAAGCAATCAACAAACATATAAACATCTACTATGCAACAGGAATGGGAATAAAAAGTAAAGTATGCAAAAATCCCTGTTCTCAAGGAGCTTAAATTCTAATGGGGGAGACAAGTACATACATGAATATAAAGAAAATACAATGTCCTGAGATACAAGGTGGTTTGGGAAGAACACTAGCAGTTGCAGAGAATCAGGAAAGTGACTAAGTGGTGCTTCAGCTGAATCTTCAAGAAAGAAACTCTATAAGGGTGAGTGGAAGAGTGAGTACACTTCAGGCATGAAGGACAGCCATCAAATGAATGGAGTATGATATGATGTGAAAACAGAGATGGTTAATTTGGATGGCAGAGTGCTTGAGGGAGGAATAATGTTCAGTGAAGCTGGAAAGACAGTTAAAGTCAAGTTGTAACAGCTTTAAAAGCTAAACAGAGGAATTCATATTTAATCTCAGAGGCAACAGAGAGCTGTTGATATTTAATGAGTAGAGAGTAACACGGTTAAATCTGGGCTTAAGGAAAATCATTGGCAGCAGTGTGGAGCGTACACTGGAGCAGGGGAAAGACTTAAAACAGGGAAATCAGTTAAGAAGCTGATATAATCAACCTCAAAGTAAGGGGTGATGAGGGCCTCAACCAAGGTAGTAACTGTATTAATAGAAAGAAGGGGCTGGAAGTAAGAGATGCTATGGATGTAGAAATGGAAATATTTGACAAATGATTAAAAATGTGGAGGAGCCCAAGATAATGCCAAAATTGCAAACCTGGAAGACTGGAAAAAACAGTGATGCCTTTGTCAGAAATGGGGAAGTTTTCAAGAAGGGTAATGTTTTTGGGGAAAGATAATGAGTTTTATTTTGGACATGTTGAGTTTGAGATATACCCAGGATAGCTAGTCTGAAATAACCAAAAGACAACTGACTATGTGTGACCAAAGCTTATGAGAGACAAAAACACAACTCTCATTTCACCCTTTTATTTTCACTCTTTCCCTTTTGAAACTGGCATTTACCATCTCTACTTTATCACCAATTCATTCCCTAATACCTCAGAATCTGAGTTCTGCCACTACCATTCTTGTGAAAGTACCCATTCTAGCCTTGTGGTGCAGGGGGCAAGAGCCTTAGATTTGGAGTCAACAGGCCCTGGGTTTAAATCTCAGTTCTGCCACTCAGCACATTATGGCCTTGGTAAAGTCACTTAACCTTTCTGTGAGTCTCAGTTTCATGTGTCAAACGAAAGAGCTGGAATGAATGACATTTAATGTCCCTCCCTAATAGTTCAAAATCTGTGGTTGCCTGATATAACAAATTCCTTGAAGGCAGGGACTTTTATTTTGTTTTTGTATCTATCCCCTGGGATAGAAACCCTTAAGAAATTCTTAATAATTGATCCTATTGTTCATTCTCAACTTCTCTGAAAAATTACCCTGCTACCCATAATGACTCCTTGAAATTCTCAGAGCTAGAAGGAACCTTGAAGGTCTTCTTGTCCAAACCCTCCATTTTCTTAGATTCTATAATTCTATATTCTCCTTGTTTTCTTTCCTACTTCTGCAACTGCAATTTTCTCTATAAGCTCTTCTTCAAATGTAGGAATTTTCCAAGGTCTATCTTTAACTTTATTTTTTTCTATATGCTTTCTCTCCGATTAGCTTATTTCTTATACCCGTGGCTTCAAATATCAATGCTATGGGAATGATCCCCAAATCTAAGATTCCTCTGGACTTTCTGCCAAGCTCCAGATCCACATTTCTAACAGTCTGCTGGATACTTCTAACTGGGAGGTGTCTACTAACATCTCCCAACTCAACACATCCAGAACCACACTCATTTTCTTGTCCAATCCCTATTTCTGACACCATCAGAAAACACCATTTAGGCGTCTGACACCATAAATCTCCCAGTTTACCATACTTTTGACTCCTTTCTCCTTCCTACCTCCCCCATTCTGGTCAGTTACCAAGTCCTGCTAATATTCTTCCACCTATATCCATTTGTTGCATTGATCCCCATTACTACCACCAAGAGTCAAGCCAACACCATATGCCTAGATCACTGTGACAGCCTTCAAACTGGTCCAAAATTCCAGTTTGACCAATTCCGATGGTTGTCTGATGTCCACTAGACTAACCCTTCATTCGAGGTACCTATGGTCAGTACTTCCTTAGAGCTATCCTCCCTGACTCTTCACTGCCTCGGCCCATCAAAATTCTACCTATGTTAAAGTCACATTTCCTTCATGACTATGCTAGCTTACATTCATCTCTACTCTGATGCTGTTCAGCACATTCTCCATACCATTTATTCAGGTATTTAACTGAGCAACAGTAAGGCACTGAGGCTGGAGTACTGGATTTGGAGTCAGTAAGATCTAGGTTTGAAATTGTCTTCTAGCTCTATGGCCATGGGTCACCAGAGCCCCAGGTTACTGGTATATAAAACAGATACAATAGCTACCTCCAGGGTTATTATAAAGATCAAATGAAATCGAAAATATAAAATGTTTTATAAACCTTAAAGAACCATATAAACATAAGCTATTATTATAAGGTCTTTTGTTACGCCTTAATTGTTTTACGTCACTGTATTTATCAGGAAGGCGAGTTCCTTATAAGTGATCCTTTACTATGGCACAAAAGACAGTACAGCTTTGAAAAGTTAAAAGTTCAGGGCCCCCATAATTAGTAGCCAAAGCTGCCACAAAGGAATATGAATTCTCTTCCTCCCTCCCTCCAGAGTTTAGATTTGTAGACATCTGATAAGTGACTGCTGGGGTCATGTTTTCCACAAGTTTAAAATATCCAGTTCGAAGGACCTCCTTCTAGGGTTTCACGGTGTGTGCCTTTCACATGTGAGAAGGAGGTAAGGCTTCCTTCATATACCAGCTTTTGGAAAATCCTCACTGGGGGCTGCAAAGGCACCTCCAAAGAGCTCTATTAATATAATTCACTTCTAATGTGATAAAGCCAGCTGTCTCAGTTCCATCCCCACATAAATAAGCAGAATCTACAAACCATGCTAAATGTAGCATAGGTTTTTAAAAAAATTTTTTTTGGGGGGGTGAGACGATAGGGGTTAAGTGACTTGCCCAGGGTCACACAGCTAGTAAGTATTAAGTGTCTGAGGCTGGATTTGAACTCAGGTCCTCCTGACTCCAAGGCCAGAGCTCTATTCACTGTGCCACCTCGCTGCCCCTAAATGTAGCATAGTTTTGAAATGCGGATTCATTTCCTGCTGGGTGTCATGATAATGCTCCCTCATCCTGAAAATGCCCTTTCTTCCCAACTCTGCTAGTACAATTCTGACCTATCCTTTTAGACTCATTGTGGATTCTACCTCCTCACATTTCCCATTTCTGTAACTTTTAAAAGAGTTAATAATAATTTAAAAAAGAAAAGTTAAAGGTTTTATGTAAGTATAAGGTATTATAGTAGGCATGAAGTAAGAATGGAGAAATTTTTGCAGGCTGTACTTTTTGGGTATTTAAAATGGAAAAACTTCAAGAAAACTAAATTATACCTCTATGCCACCACAGGTAACCATGAGAAATTAGAAAAGGATCAAACTGAAAACAGGAGTAACTATGGTAATCAATAAAGTAGCAAACATGGTATGCATCTAGTTGAGTTCTAACACAGTTGTATTCTAGGTCACTCTTCTTCCTCTTATACATATATATATACTATGCTTATAAGAGCATGTTTAAGTCATTTCCCATTTTTTCCTATTCTTCTCTCATCCCCATGCTTTTTTTTGTTCTCAATTCCTACTACTATACTAAACTCTATACAGCCAGAAAGAAAAAACCAGATAATCTTGTTTCCCAAGAGGTTCTGCTCTTTCCTTCATTCTTTCCTTAGGACTGGGGTCCTGTTTAACTCTCTCAGCTTTCCCCTTGTTGTTTTGGAAAGCCTTGTATTTTGTTATTCCCTGCAAATGAACAGCCAGCTTTGCTCCCTTTATTGTCAGTGACAACTATCAACAGCTGAGAACAAGCCTAAGCAAGAACACCCTCTATAAGCAAATCTGCAATGACTAAAAACATTAAAGAAAGTTAAGTACGTGGTAAACATTTCGTTGGCCTAATATTTTTTGAAAGGAATTTTAGCTTTCTCAATTCAAGTGCTCACATAGCCCATTTTAGAATTTCAAAAACCTTCAAAGAAACATACTTTTTAGGCTGAAACTTTTCCTCACAAGCATCTTCTTCAATATACCCATCTAAAGGGTAGTATCCTTGTCTTCTATTTATAGTTGTAATAGCCTTTTAAATAGAAAAAAAAATGTAGTTTTTAGTGGCAGCAAATACTTTTCTCTTTAATAACGCCAAAAATTACACGGTAAATTTTCATTTCTAAATGAGACTCTAGAATACAAATCAGAAGGTAGAAATAATTTACAATACTGAATCCTAGATTAAAACTGCAAGGAATATATAATGAGACATGTCTATAATTTTCAAAGAATTAGAATACAGTGAATATGTATAAAACAGTGCTCCTCTGTCATTTAACACACAGACTGAACCTCCAAATGCTGATCTGAAAGATACAGAATATAAGAAAAATGGAAATAAAAAAAAAATCTGGAGATACAAAATAAGACGGAAGATACAATAGAAAAACTCAGTGATGGACTTATTTATGGTATTTGAACTTAAGTCCTTCTTGTCTACTCTGTGTGACCTAGGGAAAATCCTCTTTAGTATTTAAAGCTATAGACAAGCTGGATTCAGCCTACCTTTCCAGGCTCATAACTAATCAACTTCTTTACATTCCAGTCAAACTGACCTATTTGTTGTTCTCTGTCCATAACATGTTTTTCATTTCTGCGCCTTTGCACAGAAACGCACTGTAGAATGCACTACACCTCCTCTCCTTAGTCCTATAAAAGCCTTAGTTACCTTCAAGGATCAGCTTGAGAGTACCTCCTAGATGAGGCCTATTTGGATCTCCTCAGTTGCTACTGCCCTACTCCCTAGAAAATAGTTTTAGATATTTCATATTTTCTTATCTGTGTTAATGTTATTTCCCTCTAGCAGACCAAGTGCCAAGAAAGCTAGGTTTGTGTTCTTATATTCAATATGTCGCACTTAGTAGGGGAAAGGAAAGGGAATAAACATTTATACAATGCCCTTGTATGTAGCAGACACTGAGCTAAGCGTTTTTACAAATATCATCTCGTTTAATCCTCTCAACATTGCAAGGTGGATGCTATTATCCCCATTTTACAGTTGAGGATAGTAAGGCAAACAGATGTAAAGCGACTTGCCCAGAATCACGCAGCTCTTAAAGTGTCTGAAGATAGATATGAATTCAAGACTTCCTGACACCAGGCTCAGATCCCTATCTACTGCATCACCAACTCCAATGTATATTTGCTGAATTGATTGCTACAACATTTTAAAAGGTCAAGGGAATACTAGGACTAGAACAATTAGAAATAAAAGGTTCCATTAAACATGGGTCATGTGTTCCAGAATGTGGAAATTTTTAGCTCTTAGGAAAAGAGCATTTCTAAAGTAATATTACATCACAGATTCTAAGGGATCTATAGAACTCGTACTGCCTTGATATACTGAATGTTTAGTTCTTTTATCTTCTATACCATGACTCTGTAGCATCTTCTTAATAGTTTTCTTACATACTTCAAAGAGATCATTTCTTAAGGAATCACAATTTTTTCCTCTTGGTTCTGCTTTACAATGATAATATGAAATGGCCTTGTGAAGGGACCCCCTGAACTTGTTTTCTTGAGTTGCCCTATCTTCCAGAGATGAAGTCTCCCTGAACTTAACAGTAATCTTTTGAAACCGAACTCTATTAAACTCTTCAGTGCCTTTGAAGATGAATCAGCTACAATCTTGGCTCCTACCAGCCTAACCCAGACTGATAAAACTATTTGTGCAGCTAGGATGCCTTCAGATAAGCAGAACATTCTTCCCCATGGTCCAACATTCCCAAGCCTTCCTGCTCCCTTCCTCCTTCCATGCCACTCTCACTTTGGAAGGGACTGCCCTCCACTCCTGCCATATGAACTCCCTTTCTGTGGTACCCCATAAATATCCAAGGCATTGTCTGTACGGCGGAATCCTTGGTATTCTGGTTAACCACCTCTATGTTCATACTTCTAGCACCTGGTTTCTTCACTTATCCAGCCCACTAACTCAACTTATACATCTAATTAACTTTCTAAATTGAGCATATATTCTGCAAAATCAGGTCATCAGTCAAGAAGGATGTAAGTAAAGCAGAAAGTCTAGAGACTAATTATTAAAATTAAGCATGTGGCTTTCATATAAGAATAGAACAGATGTGATTAAATCTTTTAAAAAATCTGGCAGATTACATACAGGCTCATACAAACATCTTGGAGAAATGGGACAACCCTGTGAATCTACAAAGATTATTTTAAGTTTAAACTTGAAATAAGTGACCTAACTTGGAACTTCTAATACTATATAATAGAACTGAAGTGAATGGCACTTTTTTCAGTCTTACCTGCTTTACTGAACACGTCCAATTAGCTAATGTAACAGATGCAATATCTTAAAGTATTAAACTACATTTCACATAATTTCAGAGTTGACCTCAAACACCATCTATTAGAACTCATACCTAAAAAAGAATCCCTTCCACAAAAATCAAAGTGGTCATTCAGCTTTGCTTGAAAACCTCACATGAAAAGGGAAATCTATAGTTTCCTCAGGCAGCCCATTACACTTTAGGATAGTTCTGATTTTCTGGAAGGTTTTCCTTACATCAAGTCTAAATTTGTCTCTATGAGATCAAAGAAAGAGGAAAAGTACTCATATGTACAAAAATACCTGTATCAACTCTTTTTGGTTAAAGAAAAGAATTAGAAACTAAGGAGACACCAATAAATTGGTAAACAGCTGAACAAATTAGGGTATATGAACATAGAATATTATTGCCTGATAAGAAATAAAAAAGAGGATGTTTTCAGAGAAACCTGAAAAGGCATGCATGAAATGATGAAAAAGTTAAGTGAAAAGAACTAGGAGAACAATTTATACAATAATATTGTAAAAACAAATAAATCTGAAAGAATTAACTCTACTCATTATGGCAAGTTGCAACCATGATTTCAGATGGCTAACAATGCAAAATGCTACCCAACTCCTAAAAATGATGGAGTAGAGATGAAGATTTATATTTTGGAACACAGCAAATGTGGGAACGTGCTTTGCTTAACTAGGCATATTTGTTACCAGGGCTTTGCCTCCCCAATGTTAGGTGTGGACAGAACACTAGGATATCCCCCCAAAAAGGAAAGAGTCATTGAAGCTATTTTTAAATAATGCACAGAGGGGGCAGTTAGGTGGTGCAGTGGATAGAGCACCAGCCCTGAGGTCAGGAGGACCTGAGTTCAAATCCGGCCTCAGACCAAACACCTGACACGTACTAGCTGTGTGACCCAGGGCAAGTCATTTAACCCCAATTGCCTAAAAAAAATTTCAAAAAAAAATGCATAGAAGACAACAGAAGGAAAGCTAGAAAGACTCAAAGATCAGAAAGATAGCTTTGAAAATTATACGTAGAATATATTCAGTTCAAAAAGAAAAGCAAGCTATACAGAATGGACTTACAAACTGTACAGAATAGACTTGCAATTTCAGGTAAAACCATCTCTTTCTATTCCACTATATATGTGGAAATGCTGATGATTTAGTGGGTTTTTTTAAAGTTCAGAATTTAAAAAAAATTTAAATGGAAAAAAAAAAGCTGTCTCTTTGTACCTTCTACCCACTACTCTTAGTTCTGCCTTCTGGGACCAAGGAGAATAAACAAATACTCCATGACATCTATTACGTCTCTAAATGTCTTCTCTTCTACAAGTTAAACACCTCTACTCCTTTGACAGAATCTAACAAAAGACCCTTCACCACCCTAGCTGCCCCACTCTGCCACTCTGAACTAAGACACTACCCTAGATGTAGTCTATGACACAGCAGTGCCTTCTTCCTAAAAGCTATACCTCTAAATATTACCTAAGTTTATATTTGCAATCTGGGCTGCCACTCATCAATGATGCTGACTCATCAAGCTTGTAGTACACTAAAATCACTAGATCTTTTTGAGAGTGAATGCTACCTAGCCTTCCACCACCTGGTATTCATTAACTTGTGATCAAATGAGATGACCATATATAAAGCACTTTGAAAAACCTTTAAGTGCTACATAAATACTAGATGTCATATGAACTTAAGTGCAAAATCCAACTTGACATGAACATTTTATCTTATTTAATTCAGTCCAATGAAAGTTTCTCAAGATCTTTAGGATCCTATCATCCTTAGTTATACGCCCCAGTTTTGTGTCATCTACAAACTAAATAAGCATGCCTTATTTACACCTTTATGTACCTGTCATTCAATGGCAAGGTCCAGCCCAAGTCTGGGGCCACTCCACCTTGTTCCAAGTTGATATTAAACCATTAATAACCATACTTTGGGTCCAACCATTCAGCTAGTTTAAAATGCGTTTAACTGTAGTATCACACAGATGTGTTATATGCTCTTCCTCCATATTTTCCAAAAGAAAAGCATGAGAAACTTTATCAACTGCTTTGCTCACTTGTTGTGCATGCTTATGGGCTGATATATTCCTTATTATTACACTGCCTTTGTTTGAGGCTTAGAATTATCTGGTTTCTTTCAGTTTCATTTTACTTCTAATCACTAACCTGGATGTCCCTAGATGCCTAGGTTTTCCATAACACACCATGAGGAAAGAGAAGAAAAAAACTCTTTAATGTAAAAGTGTTTGTGAGGAGGACAGGAGTCTGAAAGGGTTTGTCTGACTAAGATTATGAAGAGACAGATGAGAAAAGGAAGATCAGGATGAGGAAAAGAAAAAGCAAAGGAAGGAGAGAAAGGGTGCAGAAGAGAGTTATGTGATGCTCAGCTCACAACTCAAACAAGATCTCAAAAGCATCAACACCTATAAGTTATGAAACATTAAGCATTATTTTAGCAAGGTAGAGCTTGTGACATATACCCTTCTGCCTTCATTTAGAATATCTGGTGAATCTGGTATTTTGGTCATCATTTCACTCATGTAAGGGTTCTACCCAATGAATGAGACCTTCTTTTACTATCTCTATGTACTGATGTGCTAGTTCAGCTATTATTTCATTCTCTATACATGACAGGAAAAGGCAATGGGTTTGGTCACAGATCTTTATGTTTATGCCACTTCTTATACTCAAGTTGTCTCTGGACAAGATGCACACTCCCTGCATCTACTGAATGTTATCAATTACCATTTCAGTATTCTGTATTTATAATTTCCAAATAACTTGTGAGAGTGGTGGGGAAAACCTTAAATATTTTAAGTTACTTTTGTGAGGACTCAAGATTAAACATTCAAATATTCTTCACCATGGAAAATTAAAAATGAATGTTACAAAATTACTTCAAAGAAAAGATGACAACTCCCCCTAATTTTGCAAAGATAGACAGGTGTGCATGGGTGTGGAACATTTTATGTATATGATTTTTTAAAAATGTATTTATCAGTTTTGCTGATTTTTTTTCTAAAAACAAAAAAACAAACAAACCAAAAAACAACACATCCTTTGTTAAATGGGTTGGCTCTCTGAGAAGGGAAAGGATACAATTTGGTAATGGAAAAACAAAAGATACTGATTTAAAAAATTTTTTAATTCAAATGTTTTATAAATGGTAATTACAGAGATGGCAACCTGCACTGGGAGAAGTGGAAAAAAGATCCAGTTTTTCCTATTTCTCTATATTCTCTATATTTAAAAACAAGAGCCAGCATTATATTTAACAGGGATAGACTAAAGTACTTTCTGTTTTTTTGGCTAGGCAATGGGGTTAAGTGACTTGCCCAGGTCACACAGCTAGTGTTATGTGTCTGAGGCCTAAGCCAGTGACCTATCCACTGCGCCACCTAGCTGCCCCTCAAAGTACTTTCTAATAAGCTCAGAAATAAAGCAAAGATGTCTATTGTAGCCACTTCTTTATGACACAGGAGAAATGCAAACTACAGCAATAAACCGAGAAAGAAATTAAGTGAATAAGCATAGGCAAAACAAAATTATCCTTTTGTGTAAATGTGTTGGTGTATCTAGATAACCCCAGAGAAATGTCAAGTAAAAATTAATTGAAATAACTTCAGCAAAGTCCCAATTAAAATAAATAATCAGCATTTCTGTATGACAGCAATAAAACCCGGCAGGAAGAGAAAGAGAAATTTCATTTAAAATTACTCCAGAATGTACAACATACTTAGGAATCTACCTATCAAGACACATACAAGAACTATATGAATACAAGTATTAAAGGCTATTTACAGAAATACAGTCTGAAATAACTGGAGAAATATTAATTGCTCATCAGTAGAGGCTGATCTAAAAAAAATAAAAATGGCAATACAATCTAAATTATTCAGTTCCATACTAAATTACCAAAAGATTACTTTATAGAACTAGAAAAAAATAACGAAATTCATCTGGAGAAATAAAAGGTCAAAAATCTCAAAGGAAATAATGAAAAAAAATAGGGGGGAAATACCACATCTCAAACTATACCATAAAGCATTAATTGAAAACATTTTGGTACTGATTAAAAAATAGAGAGGTCATCAAGGAACAGATTAGGCACAGAAAATACAGAAGCAAATGTACTTAGCCTAGGGTTTGATAAACCCGTTACTGGGGTAATGACTCACTATTAGAGAGCAGTGTGACAGAAATTCCCTATGCCAATGAAAAAATCATGGGTTCAATTTCTAACCCCTACCCTATCCATAGTAAAGTTATATTGTTTTGCTTTCTTTTATTTTTTACTTAAATGTAACAAACTAATGTGCTCTTGGTAAAAGATTTAGGATATCTAGAAAAACAACAACAACAACAACAACAAAATACCTTACCTCACAATCAGGACATACAACTGTGCTATATTCTTCAGTTACTGACAAGCACAATTCACAATAAGCATGTCCACAGTGAAGCTCATGATGATGACCTGAAGATGAAATTAATTCTACTATGAATTAACCATATTTACACAATTTGTTAATTTTTTTGTTTTTCTAATATTAGAATCATTAATTCAATAAGCACTCAACCAACACCTATTATTGTGTAAAACACTGGACAAGTTATCAAATGTAAAATTTCACAACAGAATAGATTTCCGTTTTAAAAAATAAGAGGTACTAGTATGGTATAGTGAACAGAGACAGGAAGATGTAGGTGTGACCCTGAGGAAGGCACCTAACAGTGCTCTAGATAACTCTCTAAGTTACAGACTTGCAGTGATAAAGGGAATTCCCTATATTTATGAATTCCAAGTTTACTCTATAATGCTAAACCTAATAAAATTTTGTATTTTCAGAAGTAGTTATAAACCTAACAATATAAAACGGCACATAACATTTAAATATTGGAAGTAAAACTAGAAACTTACAACAATATGACTGTCTCAGTTTTATAATTTAAAATTATTAAATATATAAGTAAACTTTGTAGAGTTTTAGGTAGGTAACAGAAAAAAAATTATGTAAATTATGGCTCTCTCTCACTTGTAGCCCTGGAAAGCTATGGGTATCCTGTTGGGGGGAAAAAAATTCAGTAGCTACATGATTTAGCCAATATGACTGAAATTAGGTCAGTGAGAAAAATTTTTTTAAACTGTATAAACTTATTTTTAAAATCTTACTTAGGTTCCAATAGGAAAAAAAACCTTAATAAATTAAGATCTTCCAACTGTAAATATCTACCAAAGCAGTGACATTTGGTTATTACTAAATTTCTTGGAGAGTACAGAATGGGGGGGGGCAATTCTGTGGCACAACTTTATAGCTCTAATTACTTAAAGTGCCATACTAAATAACTTACTGACTAATGAAGGCAGAGGTAAAACTGGGCATTTGTCCTATCCAGGTCATCTGCACAGTTTACTTAAACTCCTCTTCTACCTCATATCCCACATCTTTTTTAAAAATGCAAGCAACTGAAAAATATCCATGCCCCACAAAAGCAACATCCTACTGAAAATACAACCAAGCCTTTGCACAGGCAAACAATTTTCCTCAACTGGTCCAACTTTTAAGGAACTTTCAAATTCTGGCAGGAAATACTGCATATGAGAAGAAAGAAGTAAACCATCAGTCAAAACTGAGCATGAGCTAGATGTCAGCAATTGCTCGTTATTCAGAACAAAACAAATTCTAAGAGAGTTATAGTAAGAAAGGACATGAAATCACGTTGTAGGCTTAGCAAACTCTATGGGGAAGAGTAAGTCAAAGAAAGCATATGGGGGAATCTGGTTTAACATTGACTCAGGACAGTACAATAGATATAACACATCAAATGGGGATTAGGGATGTGCTTTTTAAGTATTACAAGTGGCTGTGCTTCACTAACCAAAGTGGTTGAGGTATCATTATGTCTTGATTTCAACATTATATTAGAGCAGCATTCTGAATAACACACATGTGGCTTGTAAGAGAATGTGTAATGCTATCCTGAGCTGGCAAAAAAATTTGCAAAAAGCACTTTAATTCATTATTTCATTTGATTCTCAAATCCACCCTATGAGAAAGGTGCTGTTACAGTCGTTCCTATTTTGTAGGAGGCTCTGAGGCACTTCACCCAAGAATCATCAGAGGGAGGGCAGGAGCTGGCAGAAGGATACTCAGGTCTTTCTAACGGCTACATAAATGTGTGGTTGGAAGGGAGCCTGGTCTTGCAAACAGGAAATGTTCTATAAACCATTACAATGAATGCAAAATCGTCCCTTTAGAGGCACATCTATGTCATCAATCTTAACTAAATTTTCACAACTCTGTGTCAACTTGGAAACTATCTCAAGAAAACGAACTGGATGTCTCCAAAAAAGAAAAGAAAAAAACGACCTCAGGACCATTTTGTCACCGTGGATAGCCCCACAGAAGACAGACCCTTGGCTCTGGATTGGGGGACTTCGGTTCTTATCCTGGACTCTGCCACTTACAACCTGAATGCCTTGGTCACTTCTTGACCTTAGTTTCCCCATCTGTACAATAAAGGGGCTGAAAACCTCCGAGGTTGCTTCCACCCCTAAATCTAAGGTCTGAAGACCCAGGGGATTCACTGAGAGGAAGGGAGGGAGGATGAGAGAGGAAGCAGAGAGAAAAGGAGTCGGGAAAAGAGAGAAGGGTAGGAGAGGGTAAAGGGGGTGAGAGGAAGAGGGACAAGTAGAAGGAGGAGGGGGGAGGGGAGAAAAAGGGGAGGACGGGGGAGGGGAAGGAAAGAGGAAGCAGAGAGAAAAGGAAGAATGTTACCGACGAAATCCACTACAGAGGAAGGGGGAGGGGAGGAAGGACTGGTCGCCAAGATGGCCAGAGACCCTCCAACTCTGCCCCAACCACTCTCCTCTCCCTTCCTCCCCCACAGAGAGGGGCTGCCTCCTGCGGGGGCCAGGGGTGGGACAGCGAGAAGAGCTGAGAACAGCCACAGCCTCGGTCCAAGGCCGTAGGGACCTCCTCCCTGCCTCACACCACGACCAGTCTTCCAGGGCGAAGCGGGCTCGACCAAGGGCCTCCCTACCCGCCGTGGCCACGGAGCTCCTTCCACACCCGCTGCACAGGACCTCCGTGGGGCCCCAATGCCGGCTCTTCCGCCTGGGAAGCTGATAAGAGGGAGATAAAGAGGAGGCTGCGGGAAGCCGAGCCATCAAGGAACCCACGCCAGCCATCGCAACGGAGGCGGCTCCCGTCGGCCCTTCCGCAGCCGCCATCTTGTCCACACCGCTCTGCAGCACGTGCAGCCTCGCAGACCTCGTGCGTCTCCCTGGACGGCGGGCCAATCAGGGCACGGGGGGAGGGTTCTCTGTTCAGCCAATCACTGGAGGCGGAAGGAAATTAGTCGTTGTCCTAGATCTCTTCACTTTATTAAATTCACCTGCGCTGCTTCTGCTCTCGAGCACGTACAAGGCTGCAAGTGTGAGATGAGGCTGCAATTATGAGAACAAAGGTCACTGATCCCCAGCTGGTGCTGCAGGGCGGTGGAGTTTTGGGATGGAGGGACTGGAATGTGAAACACCTCTGCACTCAGTGGTTTTACTCAAGTTTCATATCAGGGCACTCAGCTGCTAGGTGACCATGGGCAAGTCACTTGACCTAGATTTCCCCATCTACAAAATTATGATTATTGTATTATTATACAGTAGCATACCCTAAAGTTTTGAGGCTCGAATGAGATGAGGTGCTTTGAAAATTTTGCTTAGCTCAGCTATTTACCAGCTCACTGAGCTAAGAGAAGTGTTGGTAATGAGGGCCATCCATGGTAGGTTTTGGAAAAAATGTTAATTTGATCTTAAGCGAAGGGATATTCATCACAGACAGCCTTTATACTGGCTGCCCTTCCTGTCTGCAATGCTGTCCTCAGTTCCAACCCTTCCAAATCCTTGTTTCCTTCAGAACTCAGTTTGGGTCACCTACAATCCCCTTGTTAATTTTTTCATAACCTAACCTCAGCACAGCAGCTAGTGCCCTTCCTTATGAAACGTCCTTGTATTTACTTTGATATGTACATAGTGTCTCCCCCAAAAGAATGGAAGCCCTTTGACTCAGTCAATTAGTATTTATTAAGTACCTGCTGTGTATCACAGAACTGTGCTAAGCCCTGACACAAAGAAAGGCAAGTGATGGCCCCTGCTCTCAAGGAGCTCAGAATCTAATGGGAGAGACAACATGCAAACAACAGTGAAGCTTTAAACAGATAGATAAGGATAGGGCAGAAAGATTTCATTTTGACTTTGTATTTATCTCCAGAGTCTAGCACGGTGCTTGATTGACTGATTGATCACAGCAGTCATTCTATTACTATGTGAAAAACATCTGTTGAAATCCAAAAATCAGTACAAACTTATAGCACCTGTTATAAATGAGTAGCCAACATATATAGGGAAATAGGGTAATGTCATATATTCTTTTTTTTTAATTTTATTTTTCCCTGCCCCTTGCCTATTTTAGTGACTGAAGGAAGCAGTATTTTGGTTGAAACCTAATGCTGCCACTCACTACCACTGTAATCTTGGCAAGTAATTTCACCTATAAGGCCTCAGTTTCCTCATCTGTAAAAGGGGGGAGACAGCAAACTAGATCAGCTCTGAGCCCCTACTAGTTCTAAATCATATGATCTTATAATATAGCAAAGGATAAATGAGTTGGAAATGCATTGATATATTAATATAATGAATTATTATTCTATATTCTGTCTACTACATATCATTACATAGAAATGTATAATATAAATTTATACACTATAAGTAGTATGTTATAGTATATAATTATATTGCAGCCTATGATTACATAAAATATGTGAATTTATATAATTATATATTATAGAAATAATAAACAAATGTGATATGACAATTAATATAATAATTAAACTCTTGATTTAGGAGTTCTTGGGAGAGAAAAGTGAGTTGGTGGCTGTGGCATCAAGGAAAGCTTCGCAAAACAGTTGGGACTTGAGCCACTGCTTGAGGCTTAGGAAATACTTCATTAAAAGACAAACAGATCCCCGACTTCTGGGATAAGAACTCACTATTTGACAAAAACTGCTTGGAAAACTGGAAAACGGCAGAAACTGGGCATAGACCAACATCTTACATCATATACCAAAATAAAGTCAAAATGGGTACATGATTTAGATATAAAGGCTGATACTATAAGCAAACTAGGAAAGCAAGGAATAATTTACCTGTTCGATTTATGGAGAACTGAAGAATTTATGACCAAACAAGATATAGAGAACATTACAAAATACAAAATGGATAATTTTGGTTACATTAAATTAATAAGTTTTTGCATAAACAAAGCCAGTGTAACCAAGATTAGAAGGGAAGCAGAAAACTGGGAAAGAATTTTCACGAGTATCTCTGATAAAGGCCTCATTTCTAAAATATATAGAGCACTAAGTCAAATTTATAAGAATACAAGTCATTCCCTAATTGATAAATGGTCAAAGGATATGAACAGGCAGTTTTCAGATGAAGAAGTTAAAGCTATCTATAGTCATATGAAAAAAATGCTCTAAATCACTATTGATTAGAGAAATGCAAATCAAAATTACTCTGAGGTACCACATCAGACCTATCAGATTGTCAAACATGACAAAACAGGAAACTGATACATGTTGGAGAAGATGTGGGAAAATTGGAACACTAATGCATTGTTGGTGGAGTTGTAAAAAGATCCAACCATTCTTGAGAACAATTTGGAACTATGTCCAAAGGGCTATAAAAATGTGCATATCCTTTGACCCAACAATAGCACTTCTAGGGCTATATCCCAAAGAGATCATACAAATGGAAAAAGGACCCACATGTACAAAAATATTTATAGCACTTCTTTCTGTGGTGGCAAAGAATTGAAATTGAGGGGATGCCCATCAAGTGGAGAATGGATGAACAAGTTGTAGTATATGAATGTAATGGAATACTATTTTGCTATGAGAATTGGTGAGCAGGTGGACTTCAGAAAAACCTGGAAAGACTTGTATGGACTGATGCTGAATGAAGTGAGCAGAACTGGAAGAATGTTGTACACAGTAACAGCCACATTGTGTGATGACTAACTTTGATAGACTCAGCTCTTCCCAGCTATGCAAGGATTTAAGACATCTCCAAAAGACTCATGCTGGAAAATGCTATCCACATCCAGAGAAAGAACTATAGAGTTTGAATGCAGATCATAGCATGCTATTTGCTCTTTTTTTTCCCTCTTGTTTTGTTTCTTCTTTCTTGTAGTTCCTCCTATTGGTTCTAATTCTTCTTTACAACATGACTAATGTGAAAATATATTTAATAGGAATGCATATGTCAGATTGCATGCTATATTGGGGAGGGAAGAGAGGAGGGAGGGGGAGAAAATTTAAAACTCAAAATCTTATGGAAGTGAATGTTGAAAACTAAAATTGATAATTTTTTTAAAAAGAAAAAAAAGACAAACAGATTTAATAAAAGAAGATGGGAGAGCAGGTTATTTAGCGTTGGCAAAGGGGAGAATGTCACTGGCCAGATCAGTTGCTCCTAGATAAGACTTGAGAGATATAAAGCTGTAGAAGTAGGTTGAGGCCAAATTGTGGATGTCTTTGAAATACAAGGCTAAGGAGTACGGACTGTCCTATAATGAGGAGCTGTTGAATATTTCTGAGTTGTTGTGAAAATGTATAAAGGAGGTTGGAGCAGGGAATTTGAGAACCAAAGACTAAGGGAGAGGCTGTAACTGAAGAGCAGAGAGACACAGAGACATGTTCGGGAGAAACAAACTTTGACCTTTACTGCTGCTGTGAATCAATCATAGGGACTTTGCAAATCCAATTTAATGACTCTTAGTTCTCTCTGTGTTTGGGAAGGGTTGAATCCCACTGTGTAGTATTGAGAAAGTGGAGGAGCTAAGCATGTAGATGGATTCTTTGACTCTGGTAACCCTGAGATCTTTCCTCACCCAGGGAGGGGGGACCGGTCCCTACAAAGTACTTAGGATGGGGGAGCTCAGTGTCAAGGGGTCCCTAGAAGTATAGAGCGAGTATAGGTTCCTGGAAGACATAGAGCACATGAGAAGGTCAAGTGTTCTGGATTATCTATGAGTTCTTTTAGTGTTCGTTGCTGTGAATAATACCTAATTTGGTTTTTGTTTCATACTTTGTTTCATACTGCTTGCAAGGGAACTGAATACTCCTATCGGATAGTGTTCTTTGCTGTAAAAAGTATCTAATATCTCCTATGGAAGGGCAAAGATTTCCCTAGGAAACCTGGGTGGGGGCAAAAGCCAAAGAATTGTGATTGAGAAGCCTCCAAAATTCATCCTGGGTCTATGTCAGGCTCAGAGTTGTTTTTCAGCAGCACTTTGAGCTGTGGGCCAATTTCCTGTTGGTTCTTAAGGTTCATTTGCCTTTCTCATCAGATGTCCTAATTGGCTCTCTGAATTTTACATTGTTGTTGATGTTGAGTTGTTTCAGTTGTGTGTGACTCTATAAATTCATCCTACTCTTACATTTTCCTATCAGCCAACTTTCTTTAGGCTTTTTGGTCAGTTCTTGTCATGGGCATTATCATAGAGTTCTTCTGCTAAAGCAAGATTTCCACCTCCTGTTAGATACATCTGACCTGTAGCAAAAGATGAAACTGCAAATCAGGGATGTTGTCTTTGTAAGAGATATTTGTTCTTGGTTTATTGAAGTTCTTTATTGCCAGATCACGTTAAAGAGGTATCTTTGTTGTTGTTCAGTGTTATAAGATAGCTATTGATTTTGGTTCACATTATCTTGGGAGAACACCAGTTGAGCCTGAAAGCAGTGGATAGATCCTGGGCCTGGAGTCAGGAAGACCTGAGTTCAAATCTAACCTCAGACACTTAGTGGCTGTGTAACCTTGGGCAAGCCACTTAACCTCTGTTTGCCTTAGTTTCCTCAACTATAAAATGGGGATAATAAGAGTGTTGACCTCACAGGGCTATTGTGTGGATCAAATGAGATAATAATTGTAAAGCACTTAGCACTGTGCCTGGCACATACTGGTTTTGGTTAACAGGTTCCATATAAGGCTAGATTATTATTGTTGTTGTTGTTACAATTTTATTATTACCTGAATGGCTCCTCACGCTGAAGTTCTAGTGAGTCCCAAACCATTTAGTTTCCTAATATCAGCTTTAGGTTTTCTAGCTCCCTAAAAAATACTCCTATGGCTTTCTGTAAATTTCCATGTGTTACTTAAAGCATATCATTTATTTCTGCTTGTGTAAAAGAGTTCTCAGTCAAGGCTCTTTGC